GCCGGCTCCATGCTCCTTCGTCATGAGGTGACGCGGGAGCATGAAGCCGGCTTCCCAACCAATCAGAAAGCTGGGCGCCGCGTCATTACACGGCGCCTGGCTTCCTGATTGGCCAGCTTCCGACCAATCAGGAAGCCGGGCAGCACGTCATTACACGCTGCCCAGCTTCCTGATTGGCTGGGAAGCCGGCTCCATGCTTACATCAGGAAGCTGGGCAGCGTGTAATGACGTGCTGTCCGGCTTCCTGATACCGGAAGTATCGAGCTAGGCATCAGATCATTTGGCTGAGTGCAAGTATTTGCCCAAATACTCGGCACCGATACCGATACTAGTATCGGTATCGGTGCATCCCTAGTTATAACTCTTCCTTACTCTATACAAAACAAAAAAATGGCTTTAATTCTACTTAAATGGAAAATAAATGAAAAAAAATCAAAGAGGAAGAGTTAGATGTCTGTCAATGGTTGCATCAGGAGGGGCGGAGCTGGGAGATCTGCTGGAATTCCTAAAGATAAAAGATGGAGGATGGCAATTTCGCTGAAAAATTGATTCAGGTGGGTTGACATGTCATGTGATGTATTATAACGAATGTAGGACCTTTTGCAAAAATAGACTTGATAGGCTGATAGAAGCTGGTATCTGGTTGGCTGCACATTTATAGTGTGTCTATGGCCAAAAACTAAATATAAATCTGTATTTCTATATTGAATCCCCATAAGTTCTCTCCCACTCCAATAGAAGATTGTAAACGTCCTCATTGAAGTTGCCCATAGAATGAACTTCCTCAATGCACTGACACCATTTCACTCATTTCCTTGTGTCACCATTGTAACTAAGAGTAATCATAGAGGCTCACTGGCACACACAAAGAAAAGTTCTAATATCAATATCTCGTTGATATGTTTATTTGAAGACATTCACGTCATGTCATCAGAAGCTAACGTTTCGGGACCTCGCAGGGACCTTTCATCAGAGCAACATGTAGTATATTAGGATTGAAGTAGATATATTAGGGGTATATTTTGGGTGTATGCTTATGTAGTGCAGAGAATTATTTTGGCTGATAATATTTAACACACCTATGCTAACTAGGTTTTTATTGTGTAAGTTTATTGACCAGCTGACCATCCTGTTTTCTTGATTGTACACAATGGAACAGCTGTATGGAATTTGTTCAAAACCTGTTTAGTTAACTAACATCAAAGGGGTAATAAGACCAGCCAATCAGAAATCCTTTCAGTGTTAGTGAATGGCACTAAACTGTATATGAATTCAGAACCTAAAGTGGCTAAAAGGTTCAGAGTCATAAAGGGAGAGGCATAGGTGCATATATAGAGATTGGAAAAATATGCTGGGTAGATAGAGTGGGTCCTTATGGAACGTTTGTCATCTGAAGCCTAGATATTTTATTTTGATTAATACTGTCGGACTGTTTCTGTTCATCTGTTTCTTCGATCCAATTAAACGCTACTCTCTGTAAAAGAATTGAGGTTGTCTGGATATTTTCTGAAGATCCAACTTTCACAACGCACTTAAATATAAATATATATTTGGGTATTTATATATTTATATACCCGCGATATTATATCACTACACAACATAGCGGCTGATGAAGCGTCCCTGCGAGGTCCCGAAACCTTAGCTTCTGGCGACATGACGTGACAGTCTTCAAATAAACATCAACGAGAGGAGGTGCGGGGGGGGTGCGGCATTGGACCGAACGCCCGACAGTATCAGGAGAGAGGAGGGGACCAGGCGGCATACCTTATCCCGCTGGGTGACTGTCCCCTCCTCTCTCTGCCGGCGTCCATCACTAAGATGGCCGCCGGCAGGTATCAGAATACTGCCGTGCGTGATGACGTCATTGCGCACGTGCGTGGTGACGTCACGCGCATGCGCAGTGACATCTCGGCGGGGTGACACTCGGTTACCGCTCCGGGTGTCACCCAGCCTCGGGACACCCCTGATAACTCTGAGCTTTGCACAGCGCCATCTGTGCGATCTCCATGAGCAGCACTAATATTGCGAGGTTGTCAGGCCGTAAGGTGTGCAGGTGGTTCTTGGAAACAATTGTAACTAAGTCAGCCATCAGAACGACGACTCAACATCTGAACTTCCCAAATAAAAACTTAACGTCTGAACAATGTAACATTATAATTGCTTGCTGGAAGCAATGCAGGATGGGATCTGTAGTATTGAGAAATGGAGATTGCATCACATCAAGCAGCAGGGAAAGAGACGCAAAGCACACTGGGAATCCAGGAAGTTGTTGGAAGTGATGGGCAGACGGAAGGCGGCACTCACTACATAAAAGGGATTTTTAAGTAAGCTTTGATTGTTTTATCAGACACATCTCCAGTATGTATTCCTATTACACTGCTGATGTTATAACAGGAGAGGGTATGCCAGGACTTTACAACTCCTTTAACTCTCTGTGCAATTCTTGAAGCGAACATTTAAGGCTCCAATATAGTGCTGATGGCTGGCATTGCCTGACTCCCAGACATGGAGCCCAGTTCCGGGACCAGCAAGTGTTCCCATGACATGCCTGTCCCCAGAACTGTCACAACTCCATGGCAGCCTCCAGCACTGAATGGCAGCCTCAGCTCTCTATGTATTAAAGTTACCCAGACAGGTCACCTTTGTATCATGCGGAGCAATTTGTCCGAGATATTTCATAGCATGAACTTACGGAGGATTTTCTCCCAGGGCTCTCCCTTCGTAGTGCAGCACATGGTCCGTCCCATAAATATTCAGCATCTTGTAAGGGTTTAAGGAGATGAGGATGCTACCAATAAATGTCTGGGAGGGGGGCGGAGAAAGCAGATGTTAATATCGACGTGGCGGCAATCCATAAGAATGAAGATATGGACATGGCTACTCACATAGATCAGATCTCGATCAAACCTCTTATGGAGGTTGTTAAGAACTGACAATTCCTGTAGATCCCTGCAAGAAAAAAACAACACAATCAATGCATATGGATACAATTTACAATTCTAGATGATGGTCACATGCAGTGATTTAATTTTGTGTGTTACAGATAGCACAGGGTACAAGTTTACCCTGAGCACTGGCTCTAATATCCTGTTTTAGGGGGCTCCTTTCCCTTGCAGGGTCCTATGGAGCCACCCTTGTGTGTGCTAGTAAGCTGTATGTGTCTCCACAAACATACAGGCACTGCAAACAACTTCCCTCCCCCCTGTTCCTCCCCTCCTCCTTCCTTCTCCCTTATCCAAGCTAGTAGATGAACAGCTACTCTGTCCCTTGTGATCTTGTACTGGACAGGAAGTTCAGGCAAATGGAGCAGAGAGAGTTGGAGCTGCTCTGAAATATGTTGAATGTGCAGTAAGTGTTCAGCAATATATTTTTGTATGATCTGAATTCGTTTTTAAACCAAAGAGTGTTTACAACTACTCTAATATACCCAGGAAAATTAAGCAAGCCTTCAACTATAACCTTTTCCCTTGCTCTTACTATCCCCCGAGACTTGTACTGGAATGTACTAAAAGCTCTGCCAGTTTATATTTGTTTTTGCTATGTGACGAAGCCTTCTGCACGTGTCTTTAGTTCTATATCATCAACATACAGAAACACTTACTCCAGCTGTGTCATATCCTGGACAACATTCTCATCCTGCTCTTGGCTCGGCCCCGGGTACTGCGAGCTCCGCATGGGCTGCATCTGGCAAGAACCAATGACAAAACGATATGAAATGGAGACATTTTTGTATTCTTTCAGTGTAACTCTCCTCTCTGCTCTTCTGTTTGCAGTCATATCCATGTATAATTGACGTTGCAGAAAGAAGGTCATTGCAGCCATCTACTTCCGATATATGATGGGGGCCCCAGCCAGGGCTAGGCTGTGTTTACTCCCTACCCACCATGCCATGTCTTCTGCTGCCCCCTCCCTACCCCATTCAACTGGCTAGCATTAAGCTGGCCATACACTGCTTGAATTTCAGCCTTTTCCTGGGCCTGTCTGCACCCCTCTACCACCTCCCCAACAATCGGCTTTTGTCAAAGGAGCCGGTCCAAAAATTCTCATATGAACAGCGGCTGCATCCAATCAGGTTCAGTCGCTCTTCTGGTTTGCAACAGCCGCTGACCAGCAATAGTCGCCAGCAAGGATTCCTCTATCCACAGTGTTTAGTATGAATGGAGGGGCGAATCGATGGCCCTGCGGGATGAACGAGAGAGATTCACAGCATGTATGGCCACCTTTACTATCACAAGATCAGATTTCACAAGACACACCGGGGGGGAATGAATCAAAACTGAAGCCGATGGAATCCGGAGCAGTTGCCCACGGCAACCAATCAGCTTCCATTTTCAGTTTGTTCAGTTAAGATTTGAAAATGAAAGTGGGAATCTGATCAGTTGCCATGGGCAACTGCTCCGGGTTCCATTGGTTCCAGTTTTGATAAATTCCACTCAGTGTTTTTTTCCGAGCCAAGATGTCGGCACTGTTAGATGTCGGAGCTGAGAAAACTGCGCTGGACACTTTCCGCACTAATGAGGTAAAGTGTTTGCAGTTTGGAAGGGCCAAATCTTGCATTGTTTTCTTTAGTTTTGGATAGCAATACGAAGAAAAGGATGTCTGTGTCTCTGCTGAGGAGATTCACCCTCCTGACAGACCGTTCAGGAACAGGAGGTGAGGAGAAATCTACCAATGGGGACACCTGCCTTTTCTCCAGGCAAAGGCAACTTCGGCACTCCATCTGTTGCAGAACTACAACTCCCATGAGGCATTGCAAGAATCTGACAGCTACAGGCATGACTCCCAGAGGCAGATGCATGATGGGACTTGTTGTTTCACCTCAGCTGAACGGGGGCCAAGGTTGCCTACCCCTGACCGACTTTATCCAAAACAAAAAAAAGAAATGTGGGGTTTAGATATATGCAAGATGACTGAACTACCATTAATGTGTAGGCGGCATCTTGTGGAGGGGCAGCAGGCACAGCGGCACAATGTTTGCAGTGTGCCTGCTGCCCTCTTTCTGGCCGGAGCGTCCCAGGTTGCTAAGAGCTAGATAAGGAGATGTGTAAGGAAACTATACATCTCTCCACCCAACTCTTAGCAACCTGGGACTCTCTTCCCGGCATCACGCTGAGCTCCTGGCAACCAGTGACATCTCTGGTTGCCAGGGGCTGGGCAGGACGCTGGCCAGAGCATCCCAGGTTGCTAAGAGCCGGGTGGGGAAATGTGTAAGGGTCATGATGCTGGACTTGCTGCAGCCAGGAAATACAGAGGGTTCTATCTAACTTGCTGCAGCTTATAATGCACATTGTAAGAAGCTCACAGTGTGCAGTGAAATTAGACTAAGCGATTCCAGGCCAGAGTTTGGCTTTAAATAACAACAGTGTGTACCGGAGACATGTAGTACACCGCCTCCGCTCTGACCTCTGCCAGCAGCACATCCAATTCCTAATTCAATACTTTCCTCCTGTCCTCACGCCGAGTATTTTTTTAATGGAATGCAAAGTGCATTGTGTCCTTGTAGAAATCAATGCAGGCTGAAACTGATAACTGGCGCAGGCTGGAGGGCAAGGTGGCACAGGGGGGCATCTGAGATCACGTCCTACTTCTCAACCCTTATCTGCAAGGTGATCCGCAGTTCATTGAACACAATGCACGCGCAATGAATGGAAGGGGGGGCATTATTAATAAATCCCGGAACATTTTAGCTGCTCGGTCAGTGTTTGGGCATCTATAACGGAAACTCAATTTATTTTGATTCAACGATCATGTGTGTTGGGAGTGGAAAATGGGGGCGCTTTATGCAATCCAAGTAGATCCGAACCCTAACCGGGTGACATTTTGTTTGCTAAGGCACCATGTATCACAAACAGGGCTGAGCTTGGGTTCAGAGGAAGGAAGCCATCAGTGGCGGCCCAATCAGCTGCAGCCGGGGCATTTCCCACCTCCACAGCTGCTTGTAAACAAAGGGACGGTATACTGGTGACTTCATTGACCTTATATGGCCACATGGCCATATTTGGACAATGATACTAAACCAACACAGCCACATGGCCATATATGGTCAATGATGTAATCACCATCCCTCCCCTTTGTTTACATGCAGCTGCGGGGAGGGAAATGCCCCGGGCCTAGCTGATTGGGCCAGCACTGTCCGGAGTATCGGAGCAATTTTTGCATTTTGCACACACATGCTAAAATCTGAATTTTTAGATAGAAAATTACTTAAAACCCCCAAACAATTATATATTTTCTGAAGGCTGAGGTTCTGGAGAATAAAAATGATAGCTGATTTTTTTATGTTGCACAATATTTGTGCAAATGTTTATCAAATTAATTTTTATGTTTTTATTTGTATTACTCTTATTATTTTTTACATTTTTCTTTTTTTCTTTCACTTAACGTCATTCAACAGGCCCCTGTATGATAGCATTTAGAGGTAACAGGTTCTCTTTATGGAGACATCAGGGGTCTATTAGACTCCTGATATCTTTCCTGCCCTCCCAATACACATGGTCAAGCGCAAGAGCACATTCACAGGCTGCTACAAGTGATCTGGCAGCTACTGGATAAAAAAAACAATACCAAGATCTTGGCTGCAGCAGCAGCAGCAGCAGCCGCGATCCTGGCATAACCACTTCAAAACCAGGACATACAGGTACATCATATGGCCCTGAAGTGGTTAACATACAATGCTTCTAGATCTTTAACCCTTTATTAGAACAGACGGTGTTCAAATCTAGTTTTAAAAAATGAGGAGATCGGCCAGCACAGCCTCACATTAACCTGCCCCAGCCCCCTCCTTGTAGTCCAAAGCTAAACTCAATACAGAGAACAATTTTTCTTAAAGAATAGAGCATGTATGGTGCAAGCAGCAGTTGGAAAAAAAAAAGTTCTGCTATGTGAATGAGAAACAAGTAAAAATATAATGTAGGTGTTATCCCAATTTGACTGCAAAAGTGGATATACACTTTAAAGGAGAACTATGGAGTGAGTGCTTTTCACTCACCTCATAGTTCTAGCCGACCTGTGACAATGACACTGTCACAGGTCGGCTTAGTAGATCGGGAGGTGAGCGAACACATACCGCGTTCGCTCACCTCTCGATCCTGTCACGGCTCTCTGACGTGACAAGGGAGGGGCTGGATTCCCCCCTCCCCACTCCGATCCGCCAGTGCTGTCTGGTGGAACGGATGGGGGAGGGGGCGGGTACAGCTGGCTCTGCCTCTAGATAGGCAGAGCCAGCTGTCAGTCACGCAGCTGGGCGGATCCAGACATAATTGTCGGGATCCGCTTCAGCTGCGGCGTCTCAGTATACCGCGAGCAGCAGCTCGCGGTATACTGCGGCGTCTCAGTATACCGCGAGCTACAGTACATACAGTACAGTAACACTCGCGGTATACTGAGCTTAGGGTGACGGGAGGACGCTAGTTTGTATCCTCCCGTTACCCTAAGGAGAACTATGGGGAAAAGCCTTAACCCCATAGTTCTCCTTCAAGGCAGGGGTGGGCAACACCAGCTGTTGTGGAACTTCAAGTCCCATGAAGCACTGCAAGACTCTGACGGCCACAGGTATGACTCCCAGAGGCAGATGCATCTGCTACTCTATACTGGCTTTTGACATATATTTTTCACATTTACATAGGTTTGTCCTGTATTCCCATCAAACTGCACAGAGGAATAAAAGCAAAACACAGACCGGTTTCAAACTGAACTTAAAGAAGGACTCTAATAAAAAAATATAAATATTTTAAAGCTTTGGTTAAAATTCAGATTTTTATTGCCTACATTGTCCTATCAGTGAGAGTTTCCTGACCCGGAAACACAACAGTGAGGAAGTGAGTGAAAATCTCTCCACGCTAAGGGGCAAGCCCACCTTTGGCAGTTATCACTAGAACAGGTGTCCCCAATCCCATTGGAAGCTTTGCCCTCTGCTCCTGTTACAGTGACAACTATAAATTCATCTGTCATCTCTCACCTTCTGCCTCAGTTATAGAACCTGTATTTGGTCTCAGAAAAGGTGGCCGGATCATTCCTATTGGAAATCGTCATAAGGGTGAATGTCACCAACAAGGACCAGGCTGCAATAAGAACCGAGGTGTTAACCCTTCCATGCTACTTTCTAAACTAGAGGTTTGGGCTGGAGTTCTACTTTAAATCATCTTAAAAGCCTGAGAACACCGACATTAAACATGTTACTCTTCATTAAACAATTATTCAAAATGAGCGTCCATAGACGTGGAATCTGTAATACAGGGAAAGGGTTTTTGGGGTACAAGGGACCCGTTTGGAAACCCAGAGACCTTTGAAAGCAGTTCAGTCCTGGAGCCATAACTGTCCAGGGTCATTGGCAATGATGATCAGTGAAGAAGACTCCAAACAGCTGAGCACATGGATCAAATACATACGTGGGAGCTAATTAGCTGCTAAAGGCTTTGTATTTCTGTTTATCCAGTCCTGAGATTCACACAGTCCTGGCACAGAGCACAGCCCTCTAGCAGGGCAGGAGAAGTGTGAATGGACCCTTACTCTCCCTGGATGGAGAGATAGATAGATGATAGATAGATAGATAGATAGATAGATAGATAGATAGATAGATAGATAGATAGATAATCTCAGTCAGCTGACTGCCCCCCTCTTTTATTATGGAGTGATCATTTATAAATGGTGGGAGAAATGAATGAACCTTGTCTGCTTAGCCAACCAGCTGTCACTTTTATTCCCATTAGTACTGAGCTTTGGATGGGAGAAGTCAGAGTACTGATCACTGCAATACATAGCAGTTTTCCTTCACACAATTTTCCATACACATTTATGTTCCTCTCTGGAATGTCTGACCTCCTAGGTGTAACAATCATATATAGTACATGGTACGGGTTAAATGGGAAATAAAAGAGATCTTACCTTGTCATCAAACTGCAGTCCGGGCCCTTTTCCAGCCATCTGCTGCCTGCCTCTCTGGGATCTCATGCTTCCATGTGCAAGGTAGCTGGCGACCTTTTCCTTGGCTCTGCGTGAGCCCCTTCTTAGTGTCTCAGTCCATGGTGGATGAATAGATGTGTTAGGGGCCCTTATACCGGGCATCCCCTGAAAGCTCCCTAAAGGTTGTCTCGGAAAGGGTGGCTTTCGTACGCTCCCCCGTAGGCTACCTCTAAGGCTACCCCGAGGACTACCCCGCCCTCTGAATGCATCCATTCTGTGAACTTGGGGCATTACTACAGCATATCTTCCCACAGGATCTTCAAAGTCGCCTTCGTAGAAGTCAGCTGGTGGTTTTGGAGGTCCATAACCCATTGGTGGTTGGTTTGGAGGTCCATAACCCATTGCTGGTTGTTTTGGAGGTCCATAACCCATTGCGGACTGTTTTGGAGGTCCATAACCCATTGCTGACTGTTTTGGAGGTCCATAACCCATTGCTGGTTGTTTTGGAGGTCCATAACCCATATATTGATCCCTTGGTTGAGGATACCTTGGATGAGAGTGGTTAGCACCTGCCAAAGTAGGAGAACCTCGGAATTCTAGATGGAAAGTGGATCCTGATTGTGGAGATTCGTGATTTGCTTGATTTAATGACTCAGCCATGAAACCACCTAAAGACTTAGGTGCAGGCTGTGGAGAAGGTGCCTTTCGACGGCTCATACTTCCAGCACAGGGCATGGGATTTTGATGTGGTGTTTGGTTAGGAGAGGGCTGCCAGTTATCCTGAGAGTGTGTTATATTCTGTGGTGGAGAAGAGAAAGATGGAGACTTTGGCCTATGCATACTACCTGCCATATGACCAAACTTCTTTACAAATGGATTTGAAGCTGCTTTTTCTGGAAGATGAGTAGCCATAGCACGTTCTTGTCTACCTAACAACTGTTGTGATGGTGGGGGACCTTGAGACATCCCTATAAGAGGCTGACCAACCCTTTTCCAAAAAGGACTTTTGGCCTCAGGAACTGAACTTGCTGGTGCTACCAATTCTGATGACTGCAAAGCATCCTGATTAGTGTCTCTGTTCATAAAGCGACTATTTCCTTGCATGTTCAGTGTTTGTGGTGGACGGTTCAAAGTGCCTTTGATACTGTTATGTCTACCCATCAAAGGTGACCTTGGCGGACTAGAGAAAGGAGGAGGTTGTGTAGGTGGCTCATTAAATTCACTGGGTGCGAAACGGCTGCTGCCTTGTTGGTTTAACATTTGAGAAGTTGGAGACTGTGATGGATGATTAAAAGTTCTTTTCATGCTGTTGTGCCTTGCCATCATAGGCGATTTTGCTGTATCTGAGAATGAAACAGGCCGAGAGGGAACCTCATTGAATTCACTGGGCATCATAGGTCTACTTCCTTGTCTATTTAAGACTGGGGAGGATGGGAATTGTGGTGGACGGTTCAGTGTTCCTTTAATGCTGTTATGACGCCCCATCATTGGTGATCTGGGTCTATCAGGGAATGGAAGAGATTGAGATGTATCATTGTATTCCCTGGAATTTTCACTTCCTTGCCTGGGCAGGGTGCTTGGCACTTGTCTAGGTGGATACAAATTAGATGAACGACTGTCATGTCTCCTCAATAAGGGTGACCTTGGCTGTTCAGATGGGGCGCCGACTGCGCCATACATATTTCCTTTTCTTTGGGCTGTTTGCTGTGGTGGGTTATTGTTTTCTCTGTATGGTGACATATCTGCCATTGACCCTCTGGGTGAAGGTGGATTTAGTGATTTCATCTCACTGGTGCGCCTAAGGTTTTTCATAAATGGATTCATTGTTGGACTTTTAGGTGGACCTTTCGTTATCTCCTCATCATTTATTTGTCTTCTCCCAATACCAGGAGATCTCTGGTGGGCGAATTGGTTTTCAGTTTTAAATTTGGAACCGTGAGGTGACATCTTTATGGGCTGTGATGAAGGTGGTGACTGAAACTCTTTATTTCTGATGCTGCCAATCCTTTGAAGAAGTGGACTTGATTTGGGTGAGGCTGTGCTGGCATGTGCTTGGATATCTTCTCTGGTTCTCATTCTTTGGACCTGCAAAGTGTTAGGACCAGCACTTGTGTTTCTTAAAGTTCCTACAGGAGATGGAGTTGGAGTAATAGAGTTTGAAGCCCAATGTGTTGTCCTTGTTGGAGAAGGAGGCCTTTGAAAATGAGCTTTGTTCATTGGAGGTGAAGGTGAACGATCTCTCTGTCTGAACGAAGAACCTGGCTGGAGTGGTCCAGGCTGCTTTTGGCCAAGAATAATGGATTTGTTCAGGCCAAATGAATTTGTAGATGGCTTTGGAGAAACAGGCCTCTGTCTTGTTGAAAGGTTTGGTGATGGAGGCATAGCGACATCTTGTGGTTTCTTATTAAACCTTGGATGCATGTGTGGTGATGGGGGATATTTTGACTGCTCTAAAGAAGAGTTTGCGTCATTACTATTGTTGTTAGATGTTAAAACCCCATTTGTTCTTGGGAAATTTGATGTGTTCATTCCAGTCAACTTGTGGCCAAATCGTTTATGGTATGGTAAAGGAGAGGACCTCTCATTGTCTAAATCTCTTTGCAAGGCTTCTAGTTGCCGCATCATAGGTTGTTCAGCATCGTGGTAATTATCGATGGGGCTCGGGATTCTAACATGTTTTACAGGTGGTTGTGGAGAAGGTGCTCTGGCAAAGGAAGTATCTGCAAATGGATTTCTAGGTGGTGGAGAAACAGGGTGCCTTTGTGATTGACTATCATTGCGCTTTAAGATTGGCTTAGGAAGTGTCCTTTTCATAAACTGTCCTAATGGACTACCAAATGCTCTAGGGGAGTAGTCCTGAGAATCCGACTCTTGGTAATAGTCTTGAGGGGGGTTTAATTTTCTTCCCATTGGTTTTGATGAAAGCAGCTTTTGAACACCTCTTGCATACTGCTGACCATAGCTTCTTTGGGCTGACTTTGCAAAAAGGGATTTTGCAGCAGACTGTCTTGAATGTTCAGGCTGCCGACGGCCTAACAATGGCTCGTCTTCTCCTTCTTCTTCCTCTTCTTCATCATAATCTGTAAACGATATATGAGGAGATGGAGGCAATGGAACATCTAGTCTCTCTCGGCCAAAAAGTTTTACCTGAGGTCTTGGAAACAGCTTATATTTCCTGTTTCGGGATAAAATAGCAGAATTTTCATCTTCCATATCCTGACCATCAAATTGGTCACTGTATTCTGGCATTGCACATGAGTCCTCATGTTCTATTATGTAATCCAAGGGTTGGGCATAGGGGTTTAAAGGTTCTGCATATGGGGATGTACTGTAGGTACCTCGACCCATTATACCAAATGCATTGTAATCATCTGCTTCTTCCATTTCAGAATACGGATCTTGTCCATTGAAGTATTCGTATGAGTCATCTTCATTTTCACTTTGGTCATAAGGATTCAGTGGATCCCCTGAATAGTCTATTGCAGTTTCATCATAGCCATAAGAAGAATAGGCAGTCTGTGGGTGATGGACGTCAGCCTCATAATCAAAATAGTTATTCTGACTTTTAAGGAGATGACTCTCCTCGTCGTAATATTCCATGTTCTCCTGATATGAAGTGTAATCTTCTTCCATAGGGTACCCAGAATAGTCATAATATTCCTCATCTGTTCCACAATATTGGGTATACTGTCCATCTTGGTCATAGGGATAGTCATATTCCTCATTAGGATATCCATAATTATCAAGCCCGTATTCCTCATCTTGGTAATCATAATAGCCAGCTGATGGGTCATCATGCCTCCCTGGTCCACTTTGCAGGTATCTTTGAGTTGGAAATCGCTGGTGTCGGTAGGCTTCAGAGTTCTTAGGATGACCATATACATCCTCATTTTGGCCATAGAACCTGTGAGCACCAGGGAACCGATTTATGTTGGCCCTGTATCTTTGAAGCTCCTCCTCTGAAGGAAAAGGCAGTTTCTGGACACCCATTCTAGTCAGCCAATCATCCTGTATAGCTTTCTCGTCATGGAAATGCCTGTTTTTCCTGGACAGAAATCTTTTGGTTAACCAACTCGCAGCTGCAGACACTTTAGTAAGCACTTTAGCTTTAGGTTTGAACTTTAACTTAGCCTTCTTCCTATTAAAAAGGCCTCCAAACAGCTTACTCGGGCCTTTTTTGTCTTGCGGTTCTGTTTTTGGAGCATTGCCCCCCAATCTGATAAGCATAAACGAAGGCTTCGGTTTGGAGCTATCGGGTGGTTTTGGCAGTTGCTTCTTTGACGTTCTCTTTAAACCCATCATGAGCTTTGAAGTATTTTTCAGCATGGCTGCTGACTTCTTTTTCTTATCCAACATTGATGAAGCAGCAAACTTTTTCCTGAAGCCCATGAAGAGTTTCGAGGCCGCTTTAAAATTCCCCTTTTTGGATGGTCTTGGCCTCAGTTGCTTAAATTTCATAAACAGTTTTGAGGTTGTCTTTAAGCTCCTCTTCTTCTTGGCTGGGGGAGGTGGTTTTTTGGTCAGTCCCGCCATGGCTTTTGTGGCCCCCTTCAGCTGAGCCCTTGTGATATCCTTCCTCCCCTCCCTAGGTTTGGGATCCAAGGCAGCAGCTGCTGCTCCCTTTGCCATCCCCTTGTTCATGCCAGCCATTGCCTTAGAAGCCCCTTTTAAGGCCGCCACACCCTTCTCTCTACCTCTCCTACCTCTTGCTGGTGGAATCTCTTCTTCCTCCTCCTCTTCCTCATTTTTGCTCTCTTCACTTTGCTCTTTGGCAACCTCTGGCTCAGAAACCTCTTCTTCCTCCTCGCTTATTTCTTTCTTTCCCTTCTTGGCATCCCTTCCCTTTTTCTTGTTGTCCTTTTCTTTATCTTTCCCTCCTTTTTTGTCATTCTTCCCCTTAGCCTCGCTCTTTGCAGGCGCAGGGGGCTCCTTCCCGCCACCTTTTTTTGCCGGCTTCGCATCACCTTTTTTGCCCCCCATGACGACAGCTTTCCAAGGTCATGCTAAAGTTCCCGTTTCACTCAAAGTTATATCCCAAAGTTTCTCGCCGGTTTAAGTCTGTCCACATCAGCGGCAGGCTGATATCACAGCGGGCAAACGGCAAGTCTGACACTCTGCGGAATTGAACGATCATGCTGTTAGGTGATACTCCAAAAAAAAAAGGACTCCAACAGTGACCTAGGTGCACCCAATGCCTTCACATTAATTAAGAGAAATACTCCAGCCTTCTAAGTTGCCATCAAAGCCATTCAAAATGCTCATGAATATAAAGCTCGCTGCGGAGCGAACATCTTCAGTTACCTCGCCAAGGTTGTAAAGTTATGACCCAGGAACACATCCTTGCCTCAAGCAGATGCTTCTTCCAAAGTGGTCTCTCTTGCTGAAATTCTCCCGGAAAGGTTGTAGATCCCGAGTGGGGAAAACAGCTAACCGATGCGCTGGATGCTCTCCGGTGAAAATCCAAATCGCGGCATTGCGAGCTGGAAGAAACTCTCCGGACACCGTCACAGAGTAGATGTGAGGCTTCTGCAGTCCCGGGAAGTAATGTGCTAAGATATAGAGGTGATTCTCCTGTGCTGTAACACTATCTTCTTGGCTCAGTTTAGTATGAATAATGCAAGTAGCCTGTACCATTCCTACTTCACCACTCTCAGAGTTTTCACAAAGAAAGGACCTAAGTGATAAGGCGCAATCATTTTATGAGATAGAACTAGGCGGTCCGGGAGAACAGAGGGGCAGCTTAACTGTTTGCGTCCCAGCCTAAGCTCGACCGTGTTGCAAGGGGACACTAATTCTGATTTTCTGAGTACAAAATGATCACTAGGAATAAGTTTTATACTCAACAGCACTATAACTGGCCCTGGACACATGTAACCAAACTGTAACACAACCATACGCAATGAAGATGCAGCATGAACGCTAGACATGTGCATTCGGATTTAGACGAACCTGCAAATCAACTAAATTCAGTTGATTCGGCGGTTCTTCCGAATTCGAAATAACAAATTTATTAGATGGCCGAATATAGGAAAACTATATTTGGGCATACATAAATTCGTTTTCCGAACGCGTGGCGGCCATATTGGCCACCGGCGTGTTCTCTGCATGCCCGCCGCCATCTTGGAGGCGGAGCGCTTCACGTCACCTGACGGTGACGTCACATGATGAACGAGCGGTGGTCATATCGGCCGCCGGCGCGTTCTGCACAGGTGCGCCGCCATCTTTGAGTATATCTTAGTATACACCAAGATGGCGGTGCCCGAACATGCGAGCGCCGCCATCTTGGTGTATACCAAGATACACTCAAAGATGGTGGCTCTACAAACAGGGTACAAAGGGCAATATGTCCAATAAAGGCACAATTAAGATTAACAGATTTGCAAAATGTAATCCGGGGACACCTTTCTGACCACTGCCACTTTTAACCACACCCACAAACAAATCACCATTTGTAGCCACACCTACAAAACCACGGCCCAAGTTTTAGCATGCCCCAAAATAACTGGCCGCAGACTTTTGGAACAAGAAGCGGATATTTGAGGTATGAAGATAAAATGCCCGGGGTAGAGAAATGATCGCGGCGCACGTAGCAAATGGCACTGAGGCGCCAAAGCTTAAAAAAAAAAAAACAGCAGTTGTGGCGCTGGGACCCGGAACACCCTGCGGCTCGGGTACCGGAAGCTAGTGTTGTGCCTATCCTGCACCACCTGTCAGCCTGCAGCTTCAAGGACGCTCGTTTTTCGGGGACAGACCCCTCAAAAAGAGGACTGTGCCCGGGAAACGGCAACGGACGGTAACCATATCTAAAAGCAACAGAGTTTCTAAATCCCCCCCAATGAAAAGTATATTTGTTTTTATTTATTTATTTCAATTTTATTAATTTAAACTAATAAACAGAACATAAATCACATATAGTGATTCAAAGATTATTGAACAATTATTGAAAAAGGCATGTGTGACATAACACTCAAGTCCAATAATAAGAGAAAAATATTAAGGATTGGAACAAAAGGGAAGAAAGGCAATTAGACACGGGAGTGACAAAGACAAACTCTGGTTATGTTATTCGAACTTATTCAAGTATATTTGTTTTTATTATTATATTATTATTGTTATTATCATTATTATTATATTTAGCATTGCTCACTTCCTGTCCACTCAGGAAGTAAGGGGAAATCTCTCCAGCAGGGACAGAGACAGCAATAAAAACCTCACAGGAGTCCTAATCCTTCCACATACCAAAGAACAATAAAACAGAATGTGTCCGGAGTTATACTTTAATACCGATAAGCGTTCAATAAAAGATAATAATTAAAAGTATCTTATATGAAAATGATATAAATATGTGATCGGCTTCATATTAGCTTCCAGCAACCACCAGCCCAGCAGCATTCATAGAGGAAAGGTCTAAAGAGTGAGCCAATCAGGCTGCAGTGTAACCTGGGGAACTTGCTCACAGGGAGAGAGTGCAGAGTAGGGTTGGAAATGAGCTTTGGACACAGCAGTCAGAGAGAGGTCAGACTGCAATTAGACAAAAGCTGCCCATACGAAACTTTTCGTCCGATGATGGAACCGTCGTACGATTCTCGTATGGTGGCCCCATCCTGCCCCGATTATCACAAGGTTCAATCAGCTGTAGTTAAAAGAAAGCACCTGGACAAATTGTGGTAATCGACCGCACGTATTTTTGTCTGCGCATGTACAGTGTAAATCGTACGAATTTTGACGTATGGAAACGCCACCAACCTTGTGAAAATCGTACGATCGACTGAAGTTTTCTAACCTGCTGGAAAGACGAAAGTTGTACGATTGTACAGTATTTGCAGTTGTACACTGCGCATCCACCTCACGAATATCGGACGAAAACGCAATCGCATACGAAAATCGGCCGATATTCGTAAGGTGTATGGGAAGCTTAACACAGGGAGCTTGCTGACAGGGAAAGAGAGCAGAGTAGGGTTGGAGATGAGCTTTGGACACAGCAGAAAGAGATCAGACTGCAATTAGACTACAATTACCAACAGGCTTTATTCACCACATGTAAATGTGTCCACTATAGTGACCGGCGAGCACCTCTCACCCGAGTGGTAACTGTCGGCGGCCATTGATCTTTTTCATTTTTGGAACTGCCTTCCTTGCGATTCCCCGACACGGGGGAGCTGTGAAAGATTAATGACCGCTCTGGATTCAGGTCTCTTCGGAGTCATAAAAATTTCATCGGAGATGTTTCCAAATTTGTCATCAGCTTTGTGTGCGCAGATCGCTTTCTCATCTCCAGAAGAGACATGTTGTTGGGGACGCAGCGCAGTGACCTGCAGGCCTGTGTGTGTGTGTGCTGCGCCTTGACACCAACATGTCACTCACAGCTCTACCCGGGGCCTGCACAGCTGACCCTGCAATAGGGTGGAGGAGCTCAGACGCATCTAAAGCCAACATTGTAGAGCAGGCGAGGGTTAGGACCCCCGTGAGAGTTTTATTGCTTTGCCCCCCCC